GAGCTTTGTGAAATTGAAGAACAGAGGAGGAGAGAGAGAGAGGAGCAACAGGTAGAGGACGAGAGAGGAGGAATGGCTGCTGCAAGGCTGCGTAGCTCTGGAGACTGGTGGTGTACCTGTGAATGCTGTGCCCCAGTGCCCACAGAAGAGGAATGCCTCTGTTGCAAGGAATGGGACCGGTTGCAGCCTTATTTTCAAGGTCTGGATGTGACCGAGGACGAGCCACCTCCACCTGGAGTAGTATCCAGCTGGGCTTTATCTAGAGCTCGCGAGATTTCAGGCACGGTATGAGATCGCTGCTTGTTCTCGCGATATTTCGGCCGCGCTTTGGAAAGCAGAGGTAAATGGTAAACAAACATGGCAGCACACTTGTAAGGTAAGACAACACGTTTACATGTTGTTTTCTATATGTTCTCTGACATTTATCCTAACGATATGAGGCGGTCTTTGTGGAAAAAAAGCTTGTTTAGTGGACTAACTTTGCACTTGAAGTATGCCCTTTCACTTACGTTTTAACAGGTCTGACGCTACTATGCGCCCCGGCTGTATCTAGGCTAACGGCTAACATGCTAACTATTATTTTTATGTCACTAGTCACTTGAAACAAATTTAGGACGATAGGAGACAGGTTGAAATAAACCGAAATTTCCCTTTAAGAGAGGAAAATGTGAACTGTGTCGATCAGTGAAACAGGGCTTTGACTTTATAAGTGTACACTATAACGTGGGTTACTACTGGCTGTTTTTAAAAAATAAAGCAACTCCTGCAGTAATAAAAACCACATACGATTACATTTGTACAAACTCTCTAACTTAATGCAAAACATACAAGCATCTACACATTCACATCTCAACAAGAGGGGTAATTATTTTTACAAACAACCTGTGTGAAGCCCTGATTCTATCCATCCTGCCTCACTTATAATGATACAATATGCATACATAAACTATGCAGCTTTGACATTGAAAAAATACAGCATATGGAAATAGGTTTCTTTACTCTAATAGTTTGGCCTCGCCAATACACATGTCCTCGTAACCTTACGTCATCACTAGTCTTTAACAGTAAGATCATCTTTATGTACAGTTGCAGCTGACTACGGAAGCCCAGGAGGCAAGTGAGAAAAAAAACTTCCGGTGATCCATTCTCTAAGTCTGATCTAAATTCTTTCCTTCTGTGTTTGAGTTTTAAGAAACATGAAGCAAGGGTTTCACACAGCGCGATCACAGAAGAGAACATAATTCAGATCAGACTCAGTAAATGTATAACCAGATATTTTTTCCTCACTTGCCTCGCAGGGCTTCCACAGGGACTGATTGAGGAGACAACAGAATGTAAAATAGTCATTGTATTTTGGTTATATAAGCCATATTCATATGAGACAGCATTGAAACTGATTGTTAGAGGAATGTGAGCTTGACTCTGTGAAAGAAAATGATGAAGACTGCGATTTCTTTACACTGCAAACACAATGTGACACTGTTAATATAAAGGAAGCAAACACAAGGTTATCAATGGAATATTCATTTTGATAAGTGAATCATCCACTTTTCTTGCAATATGGTCATCTTGTGTGTGTGTGTGTGTGTGTGGGTGTGCGTGTGTGTTTGATTTTAAAAACCAGATAAAGAAGTGTTTTCTTTAAAGGGGCACTCCATCGGTTTTACACATGGAGTTTAGTTCGCTCGTCATGATTAGTACTTGTCAGCCTGTGATTACAGCTGTACAACGTCTTCTGTGGCTCTGAAGGGAGGCTCCAAAACCTGCAAAAATAAATCTGATTATGTCATAGTGATGTCATCAGGGTTATCCTCTCTCTTTCTTTTTAGCGCAAAGCCTGTCTTACACACTGGGAGCAGAGTTTGGAATATAAGGGTGTCTACCGGGCAGCTAGGTTATAATAAAAGACACTATCTAACTGCCGTATGGGAAATGTAGGATGCAGTGATTTTGGAGCTTGGCCCATGCTAGGGTAGACAGTTGAAGAACAATGCTGTGTCTCAAATCTCATACTTCTGTCAGTTCACTTCCATGTAGTATACTATGTGCACTATGTACTCATTGGCGTAGTGCACAAATTTTGACAGGGTAGTGTTGTCTCAAACCAAACACGGCTGTTGTGCACTCAGCAAACTAGCATCTGCGTTATCGTTTGTGGTACCAAATCATTACAGATTGCTAAATTAATCTAATAAACATACTCCTGGCTTATACCCGACAACAATATAGTGGTGCTTAGTACAAAAAACACATGTATTTGTACAATGCAGCGATGTTCGTGGTCGCACAGTCCTCGGCTGCCATTTCCAGTTTGAAAAGTAGTCGCTCCCCTTCCGCTACGTAGCCGAGATGGCGACCATTGAGGGCAAGAAGTGTCCACAGTTCCACACTCAACTTCTTGACCGTTTTGAGTGCACCATCCGGGCACTCATAGTGCACTGCATTTTTCCATACGTCTCAGTGTGAACGCGCTTATGCACTCAACATATTAAGTGTAAGTACAGAAGTACACGATTTGAGACACAGAGCACTGAAACTTAAGGGATAGCGCTGAGGGAGAGATACATGTAAACAGACTACAGCGTGCAGAGATGAGCTGTGATGGCATCAATATGTCTGTGAACAAGCGTTGCTGTTTGTGCCATCAGAATTTGAAAACAGTACTGCAACAGAAAGTTGCAGCCCATCTTGATTGTTTTCAAAATTGCCTCAAAGGAGCTCCTCTTTACTAAACTAGGAATGTGCTCGCTGTCATGTCCCCAATACCAGGGTGTTCAAGCACCCTCCTTTGTTTGGCCCAAAGCAGGGCTATTTGAGTGGACAACATGAGCTCGCAGATTTAGAATTGTCTGGTTCCCAGACTTTGCATACTCAGTCCATTGTTCTAATCCGACACGTCTAAAATTAAATATGACCTCTCGTTGTGTCAATCCCATTTGCACACTGAGTCTGAAACTTTCGTCCGTCATTAAAAAGTTTTATAACATGTTCGATTTTCTGTGTTTTTTGCATCCATCAGAAGCCTTTTCACATTTGACTGATAATCAGTGAAGAAAATGTGGTGGCAGGACACAGCCGTGACAAGACACAGAGGAACGGGGTGCACAGAGTCATTTCAGAACTCAAATAGCTCACTTTCAACAGGTCAGATAGTAATATTCAGGTGGATAGTGAAGAAGAGGAGGAGGATGTGGACTGCACACAGAATGTGGAGGAAGGATGATGGATTAAACAATGCATCTGAAAAGAACGGACTCAGTGTGTAAACACTAGAAAGTACAAGTGAGGATATTTTGGCCTCTGCTACTTCAATTTTGATAACTTCCCAGCGTTATAAAAGTGCAATACTACAACACTGGAGCGCCCCTTTAAATGTCAAAGTGTTTGTGAGGTGCACTACTGGTGGCACCTAAGCACTAGTTTTCTGAATGCATTCCTTCACCTCTATAATAAGACTGGAAATGTCTGACATTGTTGAACAAAACTAAATTTGAAAATTCATTCTTGACCTTCCAAACCTGTTCGCAACATCTCAAGGCCTTTCTCAACAGATCGCTCAGTTGTCATGGCGATGGTTAACTTTGGAATTTCTTTCACATGGTGACAGTGGTTAGAAAATGGATAAACGAAAATTAAATTCAGTCTTCTGATACTTTATTCAAATAAGGTTTCTTCCATTTTCTTTGGCAGAGTTTTATTTATTCATTTGAATCAAGTGTGTAAGGAGAGAGGGTGTTGTATGTCATACAGATTGTGAAGCCTCTTGAGGCAAATTTGTGACTTGTGATATTGAGCTATACACATAAAATTGCCTTGACTTGATAAGACAACATTTTTATAATTTGATGCCACCCCCACATGTTATATAACAAACTAAACCATATCCGTGATAACTGAGCAAATCCATCTGCTGAAGAAGGCCAAGAGATGTTCTTTTAAATCTTGGATACACATAGTAAGCAGTCCTTATGTTGGGCATTAAGTTGGTAATAAAATGTATACACCATACCAATGTAATGTGTTTGCTTCTCTCAGAAACATTTCCTTAATCTCCACAGTTGAGTTTGGCCTTTTTTACAACACATGTATGTTGCAGTCAATAAAAACATGACACATGGGTACAGTTAAGCCCTGTTTCCACCAAACACTCTCGGTATGGTACCTTTGGAACCAAAAGTAACCCTTCAGACATGGTACCTAGACCCTTGAGTTTCCACTGCAAACAGCACCCTTAAATGTGGGCGGGGTTGTTGTCACTCTGCTCCGTCCAGCACTCACTGTATTTCCTAACACAGAGGGAAGTCTGCACCTCGTTTATCGTCCACAGAACGAGGCTGCACGCCAACATTTTCAGAACAAAACTGAACAAGCTGCAGTGAGAGTCTCTCTCAGTGGGATATTTGGCTGGAGCCTGCAGAAACAACGCTCCGCAATGCTTTTTTTCTCCAAGTGAGGATTAGAATATATGCAGTTCACATAATCCGGTCGACATTTATATATTTTTTGAACGTTTGAAGATCTACTCATTACTAAAAGTCATCCAAGAGAGACTAAACTAAAGTGATGGTCAGAGTTTTCATATTGAAATTTAAAGTGTGCTGATGGATTCAGGTCGTCGACTCATGCATCAGTAACATTACAAGTAAATGTTCCACCTTAAAAGTCACCGGCAGTCTGCCCACTGAATTTAATTTTTTTCTCTTTTTATAGCTGCTGCAAGAGGCAGCAAAACATCTTTTCATTTTATAGTTACAGTTTACTAATGTGAAACTTGCAACGGTATGAACAGTGGTTACAAAACCAGCCACAGCTCAACCCTGAGCAGAGTGACTGTCTGCTACTGACCAATCAACAGACTGCAGTGTTCACAGCTCCACCTTTTAGTACCAGATCTGTGTGCTAGGTACCCCAACAGATGGGGGACCAAAAATGGGGACAGTATGGAACGGTTCCATTGCTACCATCCACAACTTTTCACAGTGGAAACAGAAAAAATGCGCACCGTAATGTACTGCTTGGTGGAAACGGGGCTTATGTCTGCCTAATTACTTAATTTATATACTGTTTCATACTTCAAAGAACTGAACTCAGCACCACAAATTGAACCATATTTTATGTCTGAAGATTTGTACCAGCTTTGCCAATGACCTCCAACGCTGGACTTCCTCCAGTGACTGCTGACACCGGCAGCTGCTACTCCTTCAAACAAACGACAACATCAGAGAGCTCTCCCATTTTCAGAGAGAGATGACAGCCTTATGTACACACATCTCTGGGCTTCTCGATGCTGAGAAAATCCTCATCACAATTTTCAATGGGAATCCATGTGTGAAAGTATTTTTTACAAATTTAGATCCAAAAAGTTAGACTCCACTTGGTATTCATCCTATGATCTCCTCTGGGAATTTCTTCAAGTAGAAATATGTAAGCCTTGCTTGTCTTGTGGTGCCGTGTTGCACACTGTGTACACCGTCTTTCATCTGGCAGTTTGTGAGAGTTGGCTGATGATGGCTGTTTACACTGAGTGGAGTGTGTGTTGACTGGCAGGCATTCACAGAAATTGCAGTTTATAATATCAGGGTATCCATTCTGGTTTCTCCACAGCAGCCACAGAAAATCAAACAGAGCCTCTCGGATTCACGTTGTGCACCAGGAAGCGTGATATGTTATGCTGTCTGTTGTGTGATGTATGCTGTTTTGTGTTTGTTGTTGGTCTTGGGGCCTCTGGTGTGATTTCTGTCTAATTTCTGCAGTGTTATAAGTTGGGCAGCTATTGTCGGCGTCTGTTATTCAGACTCATTGTTGCAGACACACAATAGATTCTTGGTGGACGTGTCCCACAGACTCAGAGCTGCATTGTCAGAGACGGGTTCGGGGCAGGACTCGGCCAGTCTGACAGAGACAGAAAGAGAGGAAAGTAATATTGCTACAGAGGTCAGAATATGCAAAGTTTTAAAACTGAGAGAAGAAGAAAGAGGATGACGGTGAATGAGCGGGAGGGCTGACTTACACAATGGAGAATTATAACATCTACAAGGTCACTCATAGTCAAGTGAACACAACTGTCACGACACGACACGACAACATATAAAGTGATTCGTTTTTCCATTTCTGATGAAAAATGGAGACACAATCATGTCTATGATGGCATTTGATAATAGCTGGTGAAATCAATAACCTTGGGACTGAACTGAAACTTCGAATGAAGAAAGGATAAAAACCGAATATGTAATAGATTCAAAATATCTCTTCATAATTGTCCATTCCACCATCAAAACTATCCCCTTAAGATATTAAAAGAAACAAGTCACACCCCTACAAATAACATATAAATATTTAAAGGGACAGTTCAGCCAAAATCAAAAATACATATATTTCCTCTTACCTGTACTGCTATTCATCAGTCTAAACTGTTTTGGTGTGAGCTGTCGAGTGTTGGAGATACTGGCCGTAGAGATATCTGTGCCATGATCCTGGGATTTTGCTGATATTATGTTATCTTCGGGACTTCTTTTTGGGGTTTTCTGTTTGTGTTCTTCCTTGTTTCATGTTATTAACTCATGTTTAATCTGTTTCCTGATCTATTTTGTAGATTTGACATACTCAACCTCAATGTATCTTTCTAGAAATCAAGAATCGGTTACTCGAGATAATCCACAGACCTTGTTGTGAGCACTTTCATGTAGGGAACTATTTTCTTTCAAGCAAACTACACCCATCGACTGTATCACTGTGCAGAAGGAAGCGTGCATCTACTGCTAGCTCGCCTAGCACCCCTGAGCTAGCTAATGTTACAGCTCAGCCAAGGAGGATGCTATTGAGATTCATATCTCACCCTGTCACGAGCCTCTTGTCCATGAGTAGATGCACTCTTCCTTCTGTGCAGTGATACAGATGGTAGGTGTTGTTCAGTGGACAGAAAATAGTTCCTACATGAAACTGCTCACAACAAGGCCTGTGGATTATCTTGAGTAACTGGGTCATGATTTCTGGAAAGAGATGCTGAGTTTTTCAAATTGAGCACTACAAGCCGGAGGTCATCTAGTTCCATTATATTCAGGAGATGACAGACATTGCGACAGCTGATATCTCCTACACTCTGCCACTCACACCAAAACAATCTAGACTGATGAAAATATGTGGTTTTGATTTTGTGGTGAACTGTCCCTTTAAGGTTTGTTGGGAAAAAGTCTTCTTTCCTCAACCACTGGCCTGCTTTGTTATGTTCCAGATGTATTCAACAGGCATTCAATAACTTGAATGTTGCTGTGTACATTTACTTGTTCCTGTACAGTCAGGCGGAGTCTAAAATATACACATACCAGCAGTTTCTCTCACGGCTGGGGTCCCCATGGATGAGAACCACTGACTTAGATGATTTGCCTATTTCTGGACAGTCTGGACTGAGTAAAAATGGGACAGAAATGAGTGGTATTCTAAATGTAAGGCCTCATGCAACATGCAGCACCAAACATTTAAATAAGATGCCAGTCGCTTCTCTTACCGGTGTCCATGTCCTCTGCTTCCATGTTGCTGCATGCCAGATAGAAGAAGAAAATGACTTTGCCACTCAGTAGTAAGACATGTCAAAACACCAAGAATGTTTTCCAACTCTTACTACAGACTGTTCACACAAACCAAGACTCCTACACATGCCCACTATGCATGAAGAAACACTCAAAGTAGCGTATAATTACAAAAATAAAAAAAGAACTCGGCACATTTAGATGGGGTTAAATAATTTAAGTGTCTCAGCACAAAGCCGACAGTTGCATAACAGTCATTTCAACTCCATGGTCACCCTTCAGTTAAGAAATCTTAAACACAAATCAAACCATTTAATTTAAACATTTGAACTGCAGCTGATGTCAACAGTTGTGAGCACTTATTGCCTTGGGTAAAAGCACTGAGCCTCCATTTAAATAACCAGCTTCCATTCTAACGACTAGATTATTCTCAGACGTCTAAACCCTGACCTGTGCTGATGCAGTTAATTAAAAATTATTCTGCTGAAGTTGGTATGGCTGCATCAGTCGTAGACTATAAAGCACTGTAGCTGACCCCTGGAGGCTTCTACTGACACAGAAGTGGAATAAAGTGGTTCAGAGTGAACCGCCAACAAAGAGACTGTCAAACTGACCCCCGATGCCATCTTTGAATTCACCCACTTTCTTAAAGAAGCTAAGTAGGACATTAGATCAAGAGGCCATGGTGATAAAGGTTTTCTGCCTGGTATAAAAAAACAGTTCTAGTCTCAACAGCTAATTTCCCAGTTCATGACAACTGTGCAGGGGCTGAATTTTTACATAACTCACCCATTAAATTTCATTAAGGCTTAAAGTTATGCATAATTAGAGTGTGGCTGCCTTAGGTGACAGGTCGGTGCTTTCCACTGACAAGTTGCTAGTTAGGTAACATGATGTAACCCTAAATTCACAGAGTATAGCCATAGCCGCTGCTGTCACTAGCCCATTTTAAACAGGCATTGTGCAAATTTGCAGGAAAGCCCAATCAGTCTTTTTTTCAGCATTGGCAGTATAAAAACAAAATCGGGGAGTGCAGCAAAATGCCGCCTGCCTACTTTTGTTTATACAGAATGCACCTTTTTCGGGGCAATGGGGGGCGTGAGCAAGTAACAAAACATGTAGCTCAGCGTGTGACGTAAACAGTGACGTGGAAGGGAAGCCGGGGCTGGTCAGTCCTTCAGTGATTCTCTCGTAAGTCGGCCCGTTCTTCACCGTCCCCGTCATCTGACGGCTAATGGCCTCTTAGTTTGCAAGGACAAGGAGGGCGTGCAATTCCTTGTCTCCCCTGTTGCTCATCTTTACAGTGTCTGTCAGGTTTGTGTTTCCCTCTTGCTACTAGCTGCTCGCTAATTCCTGCTATCAGCTGTTTCCTGTTTATCCACTGCCAGTGGGTCGCACGTGCAGCATCATCAACAGCTCCTCCCACAAGTCATCAACTGCCCCTCCCGTGGCGGAAGGGCGCCTCGAACCAAAAAGGTTCCGCCAATATGACTACCCTACGAGGTGGAAAATTGGGCACCTCGGATCAACTCGCCAATCCAGCTCTGTGTGTCTAAATGCTTGCAGCTTGCTGGCAAAACAGCCCAACATTCGCGGAAAATTCAGTGTGTTTTCAGTTCATGAAAGTTTACTGGAACATATTGATCACCTTAGAAACTCATGTTCAGCATTTGGTTGCACTAAAAGACCCTCAAAAGTCTCATTCATGCTCAACATTTGACATGTACAGAAATGGACGGAGCCTTCTGTCCGTACTCTGCGTTCACTAGGAACTAGTGTTAGGGTTAGCGCCACCCTCTTGTCCAAATATGGACATTTGCCGTCACCTCTGGCTCCAAAAATATATTTAAAACGCCAAACTGGACTTGAAAACAGGAGTCCACAAACCAACAGGGGACATCATGGTGGCTCATCCATTATTTTATACAGTCTATGATGTCAACTCAAACATTTTGTTATAAGTTACTTAAAGCTCTTGAAGGACATGGCACTTGAGGATCGTTAACGGCCATGGCCAGGGAACAAAATATAGACGAGATAAGAAAGTTCCAGTGAACGTTTTCTGAAAGGTTACGGATACAGACAAAATGGAGCAGTATCACCAGAAATCATGGGGGCAGTGTAGGGTAATTCAAGCAAGACACGACCATTATCATGAAGAAGACATTTAAAAAGTAACTTCTCCATTCATATGTCACGTATTTTATGGCCTTATGTAACAGAATTAAAAATGCACTTTTTTAATTATTATTTCCAAATTGTGTTCCTGAACTTATATGTCATTTAATTTAATGATGTTGAGTGTTTGTGAATTTTATCTCTATGAGTAATTTTTATTTACTCTTGTTTTATTATATTTTTTTCCTCTGGAAACTAACTCCCTGCACTCTGCCTCTTCCGTACCTCCTGGGCTTCCGTAGCACCTCCCTTCTATCCCTCACCGTGCCGTTTGCACTGCGAAGGGAAAGTTGTGTGGAGAATACAGTGGCCATATTATGTTGTTTTCTTTGGAAAATGAGCCATTATGGTTGTAACCTTTGATAAATATTGTTTACTGGTGAATATTCTTGCATTACCAATCATTTTCGTGTGGTTTTTACCGCGTATTTAAGTTTTATAGACTTTTTTAATTACTTATTTTGGCGCAATTTGCATTAAGGCAGTCGCTCCATGTCACGTGACCAAAGCAGCAGCTTGTAATTCCTCATGTAAATATAATTATTTTGCAAGTTTAGGGGCAGAAGTGCAGATGGGAGAGGCTTTTAAAATGTTTTATGTCTTCTGCAGGTATGTGTTTTCCTTTGTTAAGTTATAAATTTGGTTGGTTTTGTTAAGCTACTCCACCCCAATCAGTGTTGTGTTTTGGCCATAAGGTGCATTGTTTTCCTTTTTGAATGTAGTTTGTCATTATTTTTAGGACATAGCTCTTGACAGAGTAATGCGTAAAATGATTTGAAAATGTAATGCAATCTTAAGATAACATATTCATGTGCATTTTGAGTAAAAAATGTAAGTCACACAGTGCCCTTTCGCATGGCTGAGGGGGAACAAGTGCAGATGGGTGAGTCCAAAAGACTATAGAAATGTTTTGTCTTCTGCAGGAGCCAATAATTGCCAGAAAACTGTACACGAGTTGCCTATCCATAACACCAGTTACACTACAGACTGCCATCTACAACACTGCCTCCGTTAAAAGGTATATTTTTATGAACTCCTCCACCTACGCCATGTTTGTTGTTGTCAGAATCTTTTGACTCTGCCCACTAGTTCCACCACCTTGTGGATCTTTCTATGCCAACATTAAGGATGGGGGCAATGACGGTTACGTTTAAAATTGAACAGATATATTTTTGTTTTTTGTTCATAAAGGGAGTATAAATGAGCCCCAAGGAGCCCAAGGTTCAGTTTTTCCAGTAAGTACAGTAAGGGCGGCTGCGGTTCAGAAGGTAGAGCAGGTTGTCCACTAATCAGAAGATCGCAGGTCCGATCCATGGTTCCTCCAGTCTGCATGTCAAAGCATCCTTGAGCAAGATACTGGTTCCACATCCGTGTATTAAAAACTGAGTAGCAAGTGGCATCTTGTATGGTAGCCTTGGCCACTAGTGTAGGAATGGGTGCAAGTCCATTTTACCATCTATATTTTGTTTTAATGGTTTTAAGCTTGTTAATTGCTAGTGAAAATTAGCATTAGCATTATATCTAGCTAACCATAGACTGTAAATGCAGCGTGCTCACCAAGCAAGAAGCTCTTGTTAAAGTTAGCACCACCCTTTTGTCCAACTATCGTCACTTCTCATCACAAACCAATGGGTGACGTCATGGTGAACATCATTCATTATTTTATACAGTCTACGCTGTTGACTAGTCAATTGTTATTCAAACATTTTATTATAAGCTACTCAATGCTCATAAAGGACAGAGCAGTTAAGGGCCAAATGGTTCATGGAGCAGCCAGGGGACAAAATATAGATGAGATAAGCAAGCTCCAATGGTATCGTTAGAATCTTTTTGTCCTTAAAATGTCTGCACACTGCTTTGTGATCATAGCAAAATATATTTCTTGACCACTGGCTGGTTGCAGTAGTCAAAGGTGTGATCCCTGAACAGTGAGAGGTGCACAACCCTCCTCTGCTGATCTCAAAATCACTTCCCAAAGTCACATGTGACACTGAAGAGGTGTGACAGCCATGACAGCTCTCTGAGTCTCCCGCGTCTCAGGATGGATCTTTTCCACCATTCTTGGGCTGCCACAGCAGAGCTTCACATCCTTGCTGACCTCTGCAGAGTAGGTCTGCTCTAACGCTCCCAAAAATCCTTTAGCATTTCCTCTTGGATGTCAGATTTAGATCTGAGTGCTCCACCTCCCTCCATTTGACATCCACATTCGAGGTCAGTATTTCCTCATCCCTGCTGAGAACAGCCTCTGGGATGACCTACCTTCCTCTTCTGATCTCTCTCCACACTCCGCCAGCTTCCACATACACTTCTGTATAATCTCTGCCTCTCATTTACCCATTTGCTTTAACCAAAGCGGTGCATGCTCCAACACAACAAACAGATCTATTAGCTGCAGGCGACACATCTTAATGAGCTGCTTTCCCTTAAATGTGTGAGGCGCCATCCCTCTGTTGCTCCTCTCTTTTTATAGAGGGATAATACAGCAGGACACATACACACATATCAGCTGGTTATATGAGGAAATGAGACGCCACAGAGAGGGCTCAGACACTCACTGGACTGTTTGGCCTACATTCCTAACACTCTGTTGTGCATGGAGGGACATTATGAAAGAAGATGTCAGAGGGACCGAGTGGTGGATGTTGTAAGCATTAATCGTGTTTGTATGTCTCAGAGGCAGGCTACAACACAGAACAGGTTCTACCCGTGAGACGCACATTTCACATTTTCATCTCTCTGCAGGCCATGAAGTGACAATTTCACAGACCGTCACACTCCCAAAGAAAATAAAAAGTGTTGCATTGTAATCGGAGTTCAGAGATAAAAACGCTGATGCGCTGTGGAGATCCGTTCCTGGCTTCAGTCACTGTGCTCCTGACAGCTCTGTCGGGAGGTGACGATCATGCTGGCAGTAAAGGAAGCGATCGTCATTTCTATTGTCTGGGAAGAGGCACAGTGATCTCACAAGCCTTCAGACCGCTCTCTAGTTCCACATGATTTCTTTAGTCAATCAGTTTAATGTTTAAAGGTCCAGTGTGAAGGATTGAATGGAAAAGGTGGCAGAAATGGAATATAATAAGTATGTTTTCCTTAGTGTTTAATCACATGAAAATAAGAATCATTGTTTTTTCGTAACCGTAGAATGAGCCGCTTATATTTACACAGGGAGTGGGTCCTCCCTAGTGAGATTGCCTATTTGCACCGCCATGTTTCTACAGTAGCCCAGAACAGACAAACCAAACACTGGCTCTAAATAGGGCCATTTCCAGCCTCCAGAACATCTTAAGTTATCGGAGAAAAAACAGGAGCACAGATTAGCAGGTGCTGGGCTAATGGTTCATCTTTGACATGCCAAACAGTGTCAGATAAACACCCATTTGTAACGTGAAATTGTTTTTATCAGTTTAAATCACTGGCTCTGTTTGTTTTGGAGAGGATGAGACCTCCTGAGCAAAGAACACAGAAGGAAGTCTAACCGGGAGAATTTTCGGCTGGTTGCAACCTACAATCCTCATTGCTATATTCCACTAAATTCTAAAGTCTTACACACTTGACCTTTAATAAAAGCTTACAGCCTATTCACATCCACTGTTATACAGTGATATGTAAAATGGTGTAGTAAGTAAGCAAATCAAACAAATTAACTGCTTTAAAAATGCTTGTTATAGTTTTAGGTTGAAAGATCCCAAGGGACCTAAGGATTGTGTACTTGGGATTAATACCTGAGGACATCATTCATAAGAAAGACACTTATCTGTTCCCTTATACTTATACTATAAAATCCTTATACTGGCATTTAAAAAGGGCCATTGCTAGGAACTGGCTGAAACGTGACCTTCCAAGTCCAGGACAGTGGATTGACATTGTAAAGGAGCTATATTCCATGGAAAAACTGACCTCTCATTTGAGGACTAAAGCAACGATATGTGCAGCTCTGGGATAATTGGGCAGACTATAAGGTGTTCTATGAGGTGTCCTTTAGTCAGCTGGTCTGAAGACATGTATCAGAAAGTTGTTAACCAAAGGCAGTGATCTGACTGAGCATCTTAGGGACGTGCTGGTACCCCACCGCACATCCGACTGGTTTCAGAAGATCTGCTACCAACGCCCTGGTGCCAGACACCATAGGACACCCCCAGAGGTCCTGTGTCCATGCCTTGACATGTCATAGCCAAGTCTGACCCAAGAACGCCCCACCATGGATGTGGGTACCTTTGGGGTACTGGCATGTCCCACAAATGCTTGATCAGATTGGAGGCAGGGAAATTTAGAGGCCAGGTTGACGCCTTTAAAGGCGTTTAACGTTTATGCTCAACGTTAAATACGGATCCGGATAAGGACACGGACGGAGCCTTCTGTCTGTGCTCCACATTCATTTCGTCCGTATTTCTGCGCGTTTCCATAAAGCTTACGGATACGGGCCAAACGGAGCAGTACCACCGGGAACCGTGGGGGCAGTGTTGCTGTCACTACCCGATACGTAGCTCTAGTGAGACACGAAGAAGGAATAACAATTCAATTTCTCTCATCAGCAGTACTAGAGAAAAGAATTCCCCGTCCTCCAGTTGCTATGTATTTAACGGCCTCACCGACCACCGCCTCCTACAACGCTGCCTCTGTTTTTGTCTTTTATGCAAGAGGTACATTATCAATATCTCCTCCACAGCTGCCATGTTTGTTTTTGAGTTTGTTGTTGTCATAAACTTTTGACGCTGGGCTTCCTCCTGGTGGATATATTGGTTAACATCCATGCCAGCATAAAGGGCGCATGGAAGTATGTGGGCAGTGACGGTAACATCGTTTGAAACGGACGTATACATTTTTGTACGTAAAGGGAGCATAAATGAGCCTTTAAGCTCTTTGTCATGTTCCTTGCACCATTTCTGAGCAGTTTTTGCAGTGTGGCACGGCACATTGGGCTGTTGGGGGGGCACTGCTGTCGTGGAGTGCCCTAGCCATGAAGGGAGGTACTTGGTCTGTAATGGTGTTTGGGTGGGTTGAGTGTGTCAAGTGGCATCCACATGAGTGCCAGGACCAAAAGTTCCCCAGCAGAACATTGTACTGTAACAATATCTAGTCTCATATCAAATATTGATATGATACCAAAATACTGGCCAACCTCTAGTTTGTAGGAGTCAAAACTGAGCTATTTTATTGAGGAACTTCAACATTAACACTAGTGTTGTATAAGGTAGCGATCAAGTCATCTCCAACTACTTCAAATGGCTATTTGTTTCGCTTTAATTAGAGCCGACAGCTGCTCGACTCAAAGACTGCGTTGTTTTATTCAGCTCTGGTTTGATAAGACACCAGAGCTTTAAAACAACTACAGTAATTAAAGTCTTTTATGTTTTTCCTTCTTCTTTCTGCTGCTAACAGCAAAGCATTTATATAAATCTACCTAATAAAATCTTACTACACCTCTCCAGTCAATGATGACTTGTATAAATAAGTTTTCAAACCCCAAATAAAGTTACCACACAATCAATATGTCCCCAGAGACAGTTGTTTTCATGCGTCCTCTCTACGTCACCTCATTGCCATATATGTAATGTTTGCACAGAGTCACCGCAGAGGGAGACTACTGCGTGTCCCTTTCTGTGTCAGCCTGTGTGTGTGTGTGTGTGTGTGAATCTCAATAACAATTGATGTCAGTCAACGTGTCAGCGAAGGTTTGCTTATTTAAAAGAGTCTGAAAGGTTACTGACAGCTGACTATCACCCTCAGTGCAACTGTCATCATCTAAAATTGCTCGACAGCATTCAGAGGGCGGCCTATTTCTGCTCAGGACTGCCATCAGCACGGAAATAGTTTCATAAATTTGGTTTTCAGGGGGGAACATTTAAGTAGTTTGTGCCTGAGAAAAAAATCCCATCTCCTCTCCCAAATTAAAGCATATATCCCCGGTGTTCAGCAGACTTGTAGTGGTGTGCAGAGGTTACCTTGAGAACGCATCATCGAGTCCATCCTCCACGTCCTGTTGGGACATGAACAATATGAATCAATACACACATAAATTACTTCAAATTACAATCCTGCTGCTTCTGTGCTTTCAAGCTCCCGTGCCTCTTCACTGAGTCAGCTGTTTGTCATAACTTATTTCATCAAGCAACACACAAATTTATGAGCCAAAGAATCACTGCACACTGCAACATAATGCATATTTTTATGTGTATTTTTTGTTCCAATCTCTGTGACTGTTTGGCAATACTGCATGACTTCTATAAGGGGAGAGTCACATGGATGAGGATACGTATTTGCTCTACTTTCCCTGCTCTAGTTTTGGGAACTCAACCAGTTAAAACCACTCTGCACTGTTCTGATTTATCACGTACTAACAGATATGACAAAATAAATATCATTCTGTCCAATTTACAACTAAAAACAATATTAAATTTAACCCGAAGTAAGGCAAACGAAAAAGGATTATTTAAAACACAACAGTAAGAGAGGAGATTATTATAGATTTAGTTGGACTAATGTGATTTAATTAGAGCATAATTCTCCCGACGAGAGAAAAATCCTATCAGGGTAAATACATAATCATGAACACAGAGAGTGTTGTTTGAAATCAGCCTGTAAAGACATTCTCATGGATGTGATGCCACCTAGTGTTGAAAATCTGTAAGTAAACACTAGGATGGTGACTGTTGAGTCTCTGCAGCTTGAACATTTCAGTTTATTTACAACAACTACATGTAACCACTCAGATTAGAGCTGAGTAATAATTGGAGTGCTTACAAAAGAAGCACATTTTAACTAATAAGAAAACTGCTGAGGGGAACGGAGCTCACAGTCACAAACTAAGCATCCAGTGACAAGAAAATGAAAATGAAGAAATTAGATATTAATATTGTTAAATGGCACTTATACAGTGTTATGCTGTGGTGTACTGTAGCATATTACATTACTAACTCTCAGTCTTTCCAAACTTCTTTTGTCTGCGCGAATCATCTGACATGACAATAATGTTGAATATTTGCTTGTGTCTCAGAAAATGGAGTTCAGAAGACAAGGAAATGTCCCATATTCATCATATGTCCATGAACACGCTGCTCAGAAGTACAGAACAACTTATAAATTATACCAATAGTCCAAATAGTGAGCGCAATAACTGCAAGAAGTTTGTGTAAAGCGAGCAAATTGGAGGAATTTGAGCAGATTTCCTGTGAATACTGTGTCACAGAAAAGTTTTCCTGATATTTTTAGGAACTTTTTGTACATTTTTCTGTCTGAACTATGTTTTTTTTTTAAACAATCATACATATTCAATCGATTTCTTTTTTGACAAATTCAGTGTTTTCTTCTTCCTGAAGCTTGGCCATTGTTCTATTAGCTCTTCTGTTGTTTAAACTGCATCCTTTTCTGCTGCAGGATGAGACTGTTTAGCAGAAAGTAAAGGCTCTGTGAATGTAACGTAATATTTTTATAAGTTTTCGTACACCCCTTAAAATCAAGAAGGCCTTGCAACCCTCTGTGAAGCTTTGGCGACCCCTAGTGGAGGTTGGGAACCAGTGCTAGTTTGGTATCTATACTACAAGCCTACCACACAGACTTTTTTAAATATCTGAAATTTAAAACCTCATATACAGTTTTTATATGTTTTGTTGTAGAAAATATGCGGGACACTGCAATCTGATACACTGGACTGGTATCAATACAAATACTGACCTAATGAAGCTGATGTGAAAATGTTGATGGCCTCATTTTTGCTCATATAAAAATTATCCCAATGAGGTCTATGCAGTGAGGTGTACAGATTTGCCATCTAAGGATTCGGTAACAGGATAGAATAAGTTGGATTCCTATATATCATCAAACCAACAGACTGATTTAACCGTTATTTCTGGCCTGAATCAAACCAAGCAGCAGTTTGGAATTTGGAGAAAGATGGTGCGACCTACCCAAGAGTCGTGTTTGATCGGTCGCCTCCGAGTAGGGTTACTGCGAGGTGAGGGCGAGCTGAGTGAGGCAGAGAAGAAGGGCCTCCGGAGCTTCTCCTCCATCCCACCAGGCTTGTGTGCCTCTGGATCTGAGGGAGGTGGCAGGTGTGGGCGAGAGGTTGACAGGGACACAGGAGGTGAGAAAGACGGGGACGATAAAGAGGAAAAGGACGGGGCACATCCAGACACACAACAATGAAGAAAGAAGGACAGTTGTCACCTTTTTTTTTTTGAAACATCAACTCCGGCCTGTGGCACTCACAGCTTTCTCTGCAACAGGCTGAATTTAAATCATCTCTGTAAAACCTTCATACGTCTCTGTACGGCGAGTGACTCCAGAGGTCCTTGAGGCTTTCACATCAAATTTTCTCTCTGTCCTTGGGCCACTACGGCTGCAAGCGGAGCCAATTTTAATTGAAAGAAGCTGGAAAAGCCGGCCGTTCACTAACAACAAACTGAATGGATGATTAAGTCTCATTTTGCGGACCCTTTGACCCCCTGAGGAGCGGAAAACATTTTGACCTATAAATGTCACGGCTATTGGAAAGTACTTAAAATCTGCCGCTCCCCTGAATGACTAATGAGTGGCGTATAATTAGGTGATTTGTCCCTAAGTGTATGTGAGAAGTGAGTGACAGCAGTAGAATTTGTGTGTAAGAGGGTGCAATGTCAAACTACAAGATTACTCATTGTCGTGTACACACTAACACTAGAAAGGTCATTTTAAAGTCAATGCAACTAACTGGAAGCATTTACTTAATCATGTTTACTGGAAACTGTTGGGTTTTGGAGGATTATGAAACCAGGGCTTCAAGTCTGCAGGAATTTGGGCTTTAATTACTCTAAATCTGCATCTACTTACTGTCTCATGTCAGTGACTGCAACTTATTGCAGCTGTCATTTTATAGAACTTGTGTGATCATTGTAATCAGTGACAGACAGTTTCTTTTTTTCCACAACTTTTGCAGTATGTTTAGATGACATAGTCTTTATCATCATCCTTCTAGAATCACAATGGCCAGTTCGCCTCTTCAGTAAATTTATTAAATATTAAAGGGAGCTGTATATGACATTCAAAACATAAATACAGCAGCAAAGAATGACTTGCTATGTAAAGATATAGTGAAGGAAGGACGTCCTGTTCACTGAATGAAGCCACTGTCCATCTGTGTGTGTTGTAACTCCAGTTTCTTTGTTCTTTGTTGTGGTAGCCGGTCCAAATACATGTGCATGTTAGTGCATGTGAGTCCCTGTGTGTGTATCCCACTGGCTAGTTAATCACTGCAGCTCTGCACTGGGCTTGTACAGCAGTGATGATGCTGCCCCAAACCCAGAGTGCTGGAACGGCATTCTTACGGAAGTGTAAGGCCCACCCTGTGGTTGTTGGTGAAGATTCTCAGTCATCCAGGTCATGGTAATCCTAAGTGCTATATCGTAGGCAACTGGACTTGCTTGAGTTTCTTGAAGACGTTTCACCTCTTATTTAAGAGGCTTCTTCACTTTTGACTTTACTCTGAACTAAAGAAGCCTCTTTCGGTGAGAGGTGAAACGTCTTCAAGAAACTCAAGCAAATCCAGTTGCCTATGATATAGCACTTAAGATTACCATGCTCAGATTCTGAATCATAATTACGCTCTTAATGCAGCATACACCTTCTTTAAGAATTTCTCTGTAGCAAGGGTGTCAAACATACGGCCCATGGGCCAGAACTGGCCCGCTAAAGGGTCCAATCTGGCCCACTAGATGACTAGACTAAGGCGTGCCAGGTTTCAGGAGCAAGTTAAACAATCTGTAGCTTACTTCATGTAAATTCTGCTGCAGAGGTTTTTCCATCCTGACCTGAATTCAGTTCTCCAATATAATAATGAATACTTACTGTGAATATGTTTTAAGATACTGAAAATTGTGCCAAATATTGTCAATCAGCAGCTTCAGTTCAAAAGAATCTGTATCATGAAATGTGTGGATAAATGCACATGTAATGACAGTGAGAAGTAGACTGACTGAATGTGTGAAATTGCACTTACTTAAGCTGTTTATCTGTTCTGTAAAGGGATGAACGACTACAGAATGTATTTGTAATTCTTTACACATAAAAAGGGAAAATATTGGTGCTGATGGTACTTACAGGTTATTGTGCAATGGTTTTATTGGTCTGGCCCATCTAAGATCAAATTTGGCTGTATGTGGCCCATGAACTTAAATGAGTTTGACACCCCACAGCATTAAGTCTTCATATCTAAATGAGGAACAATCAGTGTTTCAGTTTATTACAAAACATTCTTATCGATGGGTTTCCGAATGTTGTCATCAGTGTGATGCTCAATCACACTGAGGGTAGAAGAGAAAAGAAATGACTGACAGCTTCTGACAAGATCAACACATAAAGTTGCTTTTGTGCCTTAAACTTCAAAATTCACAAAAGTTATGGATGGAAAATGTCCATTTTCACAGGAAGCAGAACTCTCAGTTAGCTCAGTCAGTGTGGATAATTAGCTCTTAGTTCTTACAAACAGGTCAGAGCCAAGTGTTTCTTATGAGTGGAAAAAGTTTTGCTTGTACACACTGCAGTCATGTAATATTTAATATAAGCTTTTACACTTACAAGTCTAGCGAATACATAGTGTCTGGTATAATTTGAGGAAACAGACATGCTTAAGTTACCCCTGACTAGAATGCTTTTAACTCACGCAGCAGTCAGACAGGAGCTGTTTCATGCTGACAGTATTTTTTAGTGAACTGCTATTATTGAGTTTTCTACAGCACTGCGGCATATGCATTCTTGATTGTTTGTTTACAGGAAACCCATCCATTTATTCAGAGTTTAATGACATTCTGGTAAGTATACTACTATATAGCTTTTTTGCTGAGAAAAAAGAGGAGAAGATTGATAGTCTCTCATGTCTGTATGGTAAATATAAACCAAGATGTAAACACAACACACTGTAGGTTTACAGGGGGTAATGTGCCAGACAATTCCTGGCACAAAACCGGCTGTAAAACCACAAAGAGCTGCAGGTAGATGGATTTTTTAAACTTCAGACAGAGTAGCTGTTTCCAGTCTTTATGCTAAGCTAAGCTAATCACATTCTGGCACATTTCTGTCTCTGCAAAAAAAGCAATATTTCCCAAACATCAAACTTTCGCCCAACTCACCTAAAGGCTGATAAGGCTAAATTAATTGTTTGTTGCTATTTCTTAAATTGGAAACCATGCTTTAAACAAGGCACCATTCCCTTTAGGCTGGAGATAAAGATTAACCTTGCCTTGTAGTAATTATCAGCAGGACATTCTGCTGCGTTCAGTCCAACTGTGTCACCTTTTAGTAACAAAATCACGTCTCTTATCATTGCTGCTGAATCCAGCGTGATGTACAGAGAGAGACACTGTGGGCGAGGACTGAATCAAATGAACTCACCTGCTGGAACACACTGAGTGTCTGTTGTCTCTGTCTGCCCTTTGCTTGCTGCACAAGAACAGCAGGTCCTGGCCTTCTTGCTTTTGTCTGCAGACAGAAAAACTATATATGTATATGTAGTTCTCAAACTAAACCTGAACACAACCATCTGGTGCTTCTTTTTCTTCTTCTGTGAGTTTATTGGCAGATTCTAACCCAACTTTAAAGGTCCGTACCGCCACCTATTGTGTCGGAGTGTGTAGAATAAGGGCATTAAATTATCTGAGTACTAACTGGTCTAAAAGAAAGGAAGTAAAAATTCATACCCAGTTTCTTAATCCTGCCTGTAGTATATAAGCCTTCTGATTTCCCTCAGGTACTGTCAAGTGCTCAGTAGTGATTTTAAACTCCATTCCTGCCCTGTCTCATGTACTATATACCTTAAAGTCTAACTCTTTGAATCATATTTATCGCAATGCGTGATACGTGTTCTACAACTTCCAGAGTGTTACACCACCGACACAGCTTTGATTAACCTCTCCCCATCTTATGTAACATGGCTTGAAACCCTGCATGCCTGAGCCTTGATCATGCTATGATTACCCACTCTCTGAAGTTAGGATATCTTCTTTTACACTGTTAAAAATGCAATTTTGCATGACTTTTGTATATTATAATTAGTCTCCCTTTAGTATCTGTATCCCATTCTTTCTGCCAGGTGTCATTATTGCTGTTAAAGAAAGTACGTGAGATTTAGAGGGATTTAGTGTCATCTAGTGGTGAAGATTGCAGATTGCAACTAGCTGAAATTTGTCCTGGTTAAAAGTCCTTCAGTGCTCATTGTTCTGGAGGTTTTTATTGGGAGCTGAATGATCCGCAGAGGTCTCTTCCTCTTCAAAACAAACGGACTTGGTGCTTAAAACCACTAAAAACACTGAATAAAGCAGTTTCATGTGTCTCTCTGATGCCGATTGGCGTGTCAGAGACGGGCTGCTAGCCTAACACCTACCAATGTGTGATCACCTTTTTCTCTGCAAACTTAAGATCCAGACATTCAGGAGGTTTTTAGGTTGCAAATGGACCCAGTGATCAACAGTGGTAAAAATACAGATTAAATCAGCTTCCTGTTAAAAGCGGGGTGACAGTGACAGATATAAATGGCAACAAAACCATTCTTATATTTTAAGTGATTACAGACTAAAGAAAATATACTCAATTATACTGAATTTCTATCAATACTATATCCCTCTAAATCCTACAAATCCTGCACACTGGATCTTCAAGAGCATCTTTGCCAGTTTATCTGCCTGTTCGTTACCTACATGAGCAGGGACCCAACAAAATTGCATTTCCATACCCATACTTTTGTTGTATATATATTTACTGTATATATTGTCAAAAATCCATAAAATTGTCTTTGAACATGGTCTTAAACAATATTCTGAATGTTATCTGTTGCTGAACTATTCTTCTTGTCTTCTACAAGCTGTAAGTTAACATATGGCTCTGAGAGAATCCATGAAGGATCATTACTTAAAGAAACAGATGGACTATAGTTAACTCTTTCATACCCATCTTTTCTACTGTTTAACCGACAGTATATTCCATCCAAAGCCTCTATCACACTCAGTATACTCCCAGTATTTTCTCAAAACCCCAAAGGTGAGGTATTCCTTTCCACATCATTTTAATCAAAACACAATATGCTACTGATAATTTGAAGATGTAATGGTAACTCGGTAGCTTCTACTAAACTGTCAGGTGTTTGAAATGTTTGGTTGTCAGCCATTCAAGTTTAGTGGTATTTTTACGTGCATGAAGTATCGTAGTGTGTCATTCACATAGTGCAGTGGAGACTGTGGAGGTCAGGATGGTGACTGAGCATGTGAAGCATTTTCCTTCAGCTCCTTTGTGGTTGTGAAACATATTAGGCTTGAAAACCAAAAGGATTCCCAGAAAGATACGTTTCCAATTGGATGGACTACAGCGTCTTCTCACTCCTATTTTTTATGAACAGTTCAAGAGAAAAAGCTTTCACTGAACTGCTTCAATGTCACCTTCTTCCAGATCAGTGAACTCACCTTCCTGAGCAATCTCCCAAAGATCCAGGGCTACTTTAAAGGCCTGGGCTACCGTTAATGTCACAGCCTGAGCCTGAAGAGAAAACAAAATGTGAAGGATAATGCAGTAATGGAACATAAGGAGTGAGATATAAAACATAATACATAGTTGGGATTTGTTTTGGTGCCCAAGTAATGTGTTGCTTTAAAGGACAGTCCACCCCAAAATCAAGTTGTACCATCAGTAGATGCAGGTTTCCTTCTGCCTTGTGATACAGTTGGTGGGTGTAGTTCAGTAGAAAGAAAACATTCCTACATAAAACTGCTCACAACTAGAGGCCTGTACTACGAAGCCAGTTCAACTTACCCAGGATACCTTTTCATTATCTGGCTTGACTAACCCTAACATTGGCTGGCAGGATAATGGGTACTACAAAACTGGTTATCAACTAGTTCAGTCGACTCTGGGTTTTCCTATCAAGCCAAGAGCGTGTTCCTGTGAAAGGGGCGGAGTTGTTAATCACAAGCAACACCATCAGAACCATAAAGGAGGTGGACCACTTCATATCATATGAGATAAAACACTCCTTTGAGGATAGCAATGTGCGCATCTTGGTCATGGAAGAAAGATGGTTTGAAAGAGGAGTAAAAGAAGCCATCTACGTTAAGCTGGAACGACCATCGTTAAACAGAGGGGGTGGCCTACGACACCACTTATCACCCATTTGCAATGCAGTCTTGGGATCCCTCCCCAGACGACTTCACATCCATTCACCCCTCGTCCCACCTGACCCTAATGACTCACATGATGGCCGGGTGGGTCAACAACTCACATTGTGACCTTAACGACTCTGAAACTAAGAGCTTGCCTGACCCCTACGACTGCAAGGGTTCACACCGACACAGAGTTTAAAGCCTGCAACTTTGTACCGGTCATTTAGAACTGAAGAAGCTTCTTGAGAGGCGAAACGTCTTCAAGAAATGCAAGCAAGTCCAGTTGCCTACAATAAAGCACTTATGACATTAGTATAGAGTATTTTTTTGCTGTTTAGTTGGATGATGATAATATTACTCTGAATATGTCACATAAACACTTTAAAGTGATGCCAGACTATTTCTGTAACTTAAGTGAGGGGTGGAAAAGTAGCCCAGTTAATGACTGATGAGGTCTATGTAACTGAAATGTTACCCAGGATGTCCTCTCGCTATCTGGTTTGACCAACCCTAACACTGGCTGTCTGGATAACCGTTACTACAAAGCTGGTTATCATCTAGGTCAGTTTTCCTATCCTGCCACAAGCGTGTTCATGTAAAAGGGGCGGGGTTGTTAGGTGCTATCTTCATCATCAGAACCATGAAAGAAGGAGGCTGCTTCATATCATATGAGATGGAACGGTAGCGTATGTGACTGCCAGCAGTAAAATGACCGTGGTGTGGGATATAAACAAGAAACTGTAATCACAAAACAAAAGATGTAGACACACTGAGAACACTACCCAAAATTTTACTGTCATCTGAGACTTAAGTTACATGCAGGTATCACTGAGCTATGGGACATTAGTATGAAGTAGTTTTTGCTGTTTAGTTGGATGATGATAGTACTACTCTGAATATGTCCCATAAAACACCAGACTGTTTCTACAGCTGAAGTAAAGGGTGGAAAAGTAGTTAATGACTGATGAGGTCTCTCTGACCAAATTGCTTAAATTCATAAGGAACTAGTCCATACCCATTGGTAGCTTTGTCACCTTCTACCTATGCCAATCCTCAATGCCTATGTGCAGTTTCACATAGATTGACCATGTCAGTGAGTAGAAAAACGTGGGACAGACAGAATGACACACTGACAGTTTCCATGATTATGTACAGCATACCATACCATGACTTAGTCAAACCAAAAATTAGAAAAAAACCCAACATTGGTCCACAGGGGGAGCCACAGCGATCGGTCGCATTTTAGCCATTTTTGAGCATTTTTCTGTTGTTATAGCGCCACCCAGTTGCCAATTAGAGTTACATTTCTCCAGTCACCTTGAGGCGTCCTGTTCTACATATCTACCAAGTTTAGTAAAAATTGATATGGCAGTTAGGCCTAGATAAGAAATTAGCTCTCTAGCGCCCCCATTTTGTTTGATGGGGTCAATAATGGAGGGGTCCCCTCAGATTATGTGTGGTCATATGCCTACAAAGTGAAACCCTTGAGATGTTATACACCTTTATGTGATGAGCCACGCCCTCCGCAATATTCATTGCCTTATAGAAGCTCAGTTTTAGTAAGTTTTCCAACTTTTGCCAAGAGGGAACTTTAGATATTGGTCCCTAGATTATGTTCACCCAGTTTCATGCAGATCGGTCAAACTTTCTAGGAAGAGATTGATTTTTAAGCGTTTTTCAAAAAAAAAATCAAAATGGCGGTAAATCTATATAACTGGAAGTTATGGGTTCTCATGAGGAGAGGCATCTCTGTGCAAAGTTTCATTTCTCTACGACATACGGGGCATGAGATATGCCCATTTGAAGTTTGCAATTTCAATCGGTTGCTATAGCGCCCCCTTTGGCCAATTGATGTAATATTGCTTCATTTGCATCCTCCCATGACCCTCTACCACTGTGCCAAATTTCACATGGATTGACCAAGTCAGTGAGGAGAAAAACGTAGAACAGAGACACGTCATTATATAGTAAGATAAGATGGGAGACAATTAACGGTGTGTGGATTATTATACGAAAAAAATATTATCTGTTTTATCCTAGTTCTCATCACATAAGTGTCTCATGTTATGTTGAGCCGCAGTGATGGAATCAGACTGTTAAAGTAGCAGCACTGTCAGCAGTCACTGTGGACTGAAATAAACATAATAATTTCAAATAGTGTTAAAATCACGTGTTTAGTTTTTTTTAACAATCTCTCCGTTTGTTAGAAGCTCTGTTTTAAAACCAGTGGGAAAAGAGCCCCCAGAAATATTAAATGATTCTACTGACCAATAACAGCATATAGGCTCCTCTATTTTACCTGTCACTCCGGACTTTCATCCATGGATACTTTTTTAGTCAGTGATCTGGTGGAGAGAGAGGTGGGGGTGTTGACAGGCTGTGATCCGATATTCTAGAGTTCTGTTCAGCTGTTTAGCTGAAGTTGCCACAGTGGTTTACCCCGGTGAAAAGAGAGCCAGCTTCGTAGTTATGAAAACCCAGAGTTAACCCTGAAGTTACCTGGCTAACTCCAAATCCTGTTTCATAGTACAGGCCTCAGGTTATGTTCAGTCTATCAGATCACATCCTGTCAACACCCCAACCTCTGACCAATCAGATCACTGGAGAAAAGTGGATGAGTAACCTACATATTGTTAGAGGTCAGTAGCAATAGTAGGTTGTTCCATTGTTTCAGGGCTCTATTTCCACAGGTTATAGCTTTTAACAAACACAGAGATCATTTACCTCACTTAACACATGATTTTAACAGTATTTTAACTTATGCAAAGTTTATTTTAGTCCAGAACGTTGCTCTTTTACACACATTTCATATCATATGAAGCAGCCCACTTCATTCATGGTTCTGATGATGTCACTCGTAATTAACAGCTCCTCCTCTTTCACATGAATGTGCTTGTGGCTGGATAGGAAAACCCAGAGTTGACTGAACTAGTTGATAACCAGCTTTGTAGTATTGGTTATCCAGATGGCCAGTGTTAGGGTTAGTCAAACCAGATAGCGAGAATATATCTTGGGTACGTTGATCCGGCTTTGTGGTACAGGCTGCAGGGTATGATTTCTGGAAAGAGACATTGCTGTTGAGTTTTTTTAAATGCACTCGTTGGCACTTTGTGCACCACAAGCCAAGTTCCATTTAATTCCATTATATTGGAGAGAAAGCAGACATCTCTACAGCCAACATCTCCAACACTCTGCAACTCACCCTAAAACAATTTAGATTGATGAATAGCACTACAGGTAAACTGAAAAATATGTATTTTTGACTCTGGGGTCAACTGTCCCTTTAATATCTTTAGTCTGATTATTTAACCATCTACATCTACTATTAAATTGCATAATTTTAAAAATGTAATCACTTTTTTCCCCAAGAAAATAAACTCTGTCTATTTCAAATCTTATCAATTTCTCATAATGTTGGATCAGCTGTATACAGTATAGACTGGTGAGATGTAAGGGTGTTCTGCCACAAGATGGCGCCACATGCCATCTACTTTTATGCGACTGGCTGTCCTTAGTGCAGTTCATTAAATGCTCTCAGTCCACAAACAAACTGACCTCAAGACCTGCTAGAGTTCAAGGGCATATATTCCATCACGCTTAATACCGACAAATGTACACACAGGTATATACAACAAAATCCCAAGTTTTGCACACTTACAATCTTCTTCTTTTGGCAGAGAAATGCATGACACTCCAGGGTCTCGTTGAACTGACTTTGGGAGACATATGCAAAGACCTTATCCTGAGTTTTATCTGCTGTGCAGTAAGAGATTCTGGAAGAGAAGAAACAGACAGAAAAAAAACAACATTATTCCAATATACTAACACTATCAATCCACCTGATATAAGTGCATTCATGATGATGAATGAGAAACCGCAGCAGACAGGAACCAATTTATGCCATGAGTGAATGAACATCCCTTTTTAAATCACAGGACACACATGCAGAACAAAAGGACACCATGTACAGTGCATTAGCTGCTAGACTGAACTCTTAATCAGACCTCACACATCAAGGTAAGCTGCACTGCATACATGTCAATTTAACCCATAACGTTGCTTTTGCTCTCACCCTTTTCCATATGCATAAGCACACCAATCATAGCAGGATGAGAGCGGTGGTTACGAATATTATGCTGATTAAGTCCCACAGCTGGGAACGGTGGTGCAGGAGACAAATAAGCACCGGTGACGTCCATGAGAGATACTCGAAGCTGCGACTGAGCTCTTCAGTACTTCATATTTTCAGACAGAGTGTGTGTTTTAAGCAAAAAAATCAACTCAAATGCTGATATAATAATGCTTTGTGAATTCATTTTTTTCCATGCAAGGCTCAAATGGTTGATTGAAACTGAAATGCTCACTTAAGAGTTATGATAATGGAGATACAGTGAGTTCAATGTATTCAGGTAACCTTCACTCTGTTTCTCAGAGTTTCGTCTTATTGTCTGTTGAGGACATCAAGCACTACACAAAGGCATGTGAAGCTGCAGGAAATCAGATATAGAAAACTGTTGACTTCTGAAATAACCTCCCTGGCGGTTACATATTATAGGCCTCTTGCAACTTGTGTCGAAATATCTGAATTTCAACTGTCTGTAATAAATGGAAAGTCTTGGCTGAGGAATTGATCTCTGCTGTGACTATATTGCACCTGGGACCTCATTCCCAACAGTCACACTGAATCTCTCCTGGATCTAATATCTGGTTTTCAAGAAATTCAATTGTCTGCAAATCCAGTGACAGTCAAGGCCATTTATTTGCAATGGTTATCTAAAACCAATCCAGGCAAAGTCCACCGAGCGATTTGGCTCCTTCGCAGCAGCTTGTATGGGTTTACTGAAGCGACGGACACAAACCAGATGGAATTGTTTTGTCGGATTTTACGCAGGCTATTAGAAGTGGTATTGATCTTAAGTCACCCTGTATGTCTTTCTGGGGTTGTTACCTGCACCAGCAGTGTGCGTCATGTTTGTTGCTTTAAATAGATGTGTAAATGAGCCACAGTGAGTGATGCACTTGACCTTTGTCACCATAATTAAACATACAGCCTTTGTTATAAGCAGCACAATGGCCACATTGAGTGATTTCATTCTCATTAGAACTCTACAGGCCAAAGTTGTTATTTCTTTTCTGAATGGAGCACATCAAATCAACCTACCTCGATAAAACTAAGATACTCAAGGTTGCTTAATACATGTCATCATCATCAGCATCACATCATCTGCCATCATTACAGTAAATGGTAAAGTGTAAACAAAAGGGATCTGCAGCTGGCAGCCTCTTATTTGCCGCACCACTTCAAGAGTGGCACTAAAAATAAAGTAATTTATTCGATCAAACAACAAGCATGAAATCACCAGTGCTCGGATCTCCCTCTCAGATTGTTTGCTGGCTTGCACCACTGATGCATGACCCACATTGCAATGCCCAGGACGCCCAGCTCCGTATTCCCCCACTCTCCCCCGTGCTCGAACTTATATTTGGGCCTTAATTGCGGAAAAATGAGCAGAGAAAAAGTTGAAAGGGTTGACCTATTTAAGATTGAAAAACAAGCTGATGTAATCAGACTGCTCAATCTAAAAGTAATTATAATCTTCTTGAGATATTATCTACTTTCTCCCAAGAATGTTTTGTGCGACCTGAATTTCACTTTTTTCTGTGGGCTTTTATTGTTTAAGTCTCTGCAGATTTGAATTCTGTGCTGTGTGTGCATGCTTTGGATTTTTTTTTCAATAACATTAATAACTGTATAAATTATTGACAATAAAGTAATGCATTTTATACTACACAATGATGTGTACTGTTGCTTTGGCAGCAGTATCACAGTTCTATCAATAGTAATTAAATCAGAAGCTAATGTTAAAGCAGTGTCCTTGTAATTTGGGGAATCAGTGTTTTAGGATTTTAAAAGACAATATGAAAACAGTAGAACATTCTATTTAAAAAGTGATTTACTAAAAGCTGCCACTGACTTGATTTTCTTTGTATAACTAAAAGTTCTACTAGAGGTTCCCACCCAGAGCATGCTCTACAAAGTTTAAAGAACTGTTCCATAAAGGTTGTAAATAATCATGGAGAGTTAGTGAGGGCTGTATCCTGAAGATACAAAGTCTGCAAACACAGCCAATGCCTGGAACTCATCACTCCTCTCTCTTATCTTACACTGCAGTGGAGAGATACCCACAAGTTCTGAGAGAGACTTTTACAATATTCAACGAGAACTGCTGTTCACTGTCCACAGTATGTTGTTAAGATTTCAGGGGTAAACATAAGCAAAATGAGCAAGTAGGTCAGTGCACATACACGACTAGCCTATGTACCCAAATAAGAGTATCAACAAGAATCTGAGACCGTAGTTTTAACACTGAATTGACCCTTCCTTAGTCCCGCGCCCAGACACAGACTGGCGAATCATAACATAGCAATCATTTTACAGCAACACAGCTGTGCTCCAGTGACTCTAATGTAATCGTTTAAGATTTCTTCATTTTTCAGGCTGGTTTTGTGGGTTTAGAGCGAAATGTTGTGCCCTGGGGGACGTTGTGTATTAATGATACTCGTTACCTGGAGAGGTTGGAAAAAGATATACGTTTCTTCCCTGTTCCAAAACCAAAACTCTGGAAAGTGTAGGGTTAGCTAGCTAGCTACCGAAGATATAGCCTATTGAATGTATACACAGTGAAGGGGAGCAGGAAAACTGCTGAAATTCAACCAGCTCTGTGTTATAGCACTGTGCACAGATGAACACTGTTTGACTTCCCCTGGAGATCTCTGCCTGTTCGGGTGCTGGCAGCGGCACAGGGGTGAAGCCAAACACCGTTGATCTGCACACACTGTGATGCCACACAGCTGGTTTAATATCAGCAAAGTTTCCCTTTAAATTCATTGTCTTCTGTGGCGATCAGCAGTGATGTGGTGGTTCACTTTTACACTGTGATCTGTAGCCTATAGTTCGGCTTTAGCTTCTAACTATCTTTGTCTTTTTAACCTGTTGTTGCTGCTGAGTCAGTTTGACATCCTGGATATATCCTTCAAACACAAACTGTAGACCCCTCTGTCTGCTTCTCTCTGGAATCACTGTTTCATTTTTCCAAAAATCTGATATTTCTTCAGGGAGTGCAGTTAGTTACAGTGTGTGCTCCATGCTTACTCCGACAGCTTGTCGGACCACCACAAAGGGGCGGGGCTTAGCAAAAGGTCATTTGGGTACAGACTTCCACAATGATGGTGAATACTGAGGATATTATGAAAATTGTATCCTATCTCATAGTATCAACAGCAAGAGTTTCACAACTATGAATTTATCATGCAATATGGTTGACAGAAAAGAGTTCATTATAATACAGCATCCATGTGAGAATAATATGCATCTCTAAACACAGACATCTCACTGGAGTGAATACACATTTAAGATTTCATCTTTTTGACAGAGACACACAAGCTGCTTCTTCCACTTACAGTCACTCCTATGGAGTGTTATGAAACAAAGGGTCTCTTTATTATTGTGTGCAGATTTCACTCATTATAAGACAATTTAAAAACCTTTTAATTACTGTCACCAATGTCCCACACAATGGATCATATTCATGGAATAAGCCTTCAGCTTGAAACAACAACAGGAAAAAAAATAATTGACAGCATCACAGAGTTTTCACTAAGCTCGAACAACAGAAGCTGAGCTGTCAGTCTGCATCATATCTCCAAAAGGAGCTCCGTGGACGGCAAGCCTTTGATCTCCTCACTGTGTAGAGCACCGTTGTTTTTGAGGCAGAGAGGGAATATCAATAGAAATATTTAAATATTTACAGTACAAAGCATGAATAGAACGTCATACATCAAAGCCTCAAATTCTCTATATACACTGAATAAAGCAGGTATGCTGTTTAACAACAATAAACTACTTTTGTTCAACTTTTTACCCAACATAAGTGCATTAATGAAAAACAGCACTTTGCATTTGCTGCAGGGAAGAAGGCAAAGAAACAGTTTTGCAAAAGGGTGAAAAAAGCAAATTCTCAAACAAACAGAAAATTGCAACATATTTTCAATGTTGGCACAAAGATAAAACACTGGCAGGTCCTGTCCTTCTTTAGACATCCGACAGATCTCACAAATCTAATGGTATGTCAGAACAATGTGCATCATTAACAGGTGGAGTGTCAGTTACAGTTTCAGCTCGCCTTTTCTGACCGGTATGTTTTGCTGATTGATATGCTGGAGCTCTCTGAGAGCGCTTGTCAGAATATGAATCAGTAACATCAGTCCAGATGTAGGCTGAACACCTCAGTAGAAGATGCAAGTATCACTATCTGTATGTTTTATTAAGAAAAACAATACCAGGGGCAAATAAGACCAGGTCTGTACAGTATTGGACATAAAAGCCTGTCAGAATGTTAAATGAAAGAAGCCACTTGTCTACTGATCCAAAAAGTGGCAAACCTAACATTTCAATGGAAGATACACAGCTCCAGCGTTGCCACTGTGGAAGAGGGGGCACCACTTTGCCCCTGGCAGGCACTCATGTGCGATGACAAATGCAAAATGCATGGGAAAGAAATTCACACCGGCGCGAAATGCCGGGCAATCCAGCCGCTGACACAGAATCCACCCCCTCGGGCGCTGGTAACAAGCTAGCTCAAACTGTGGAAAAGCATCATGAATTTCTGTACCTCCACTTCACAAGCCAAGGGTCTATGGACGGAGCGACTGCCGCCACTGTGGACAAGGGAGCGCCTCCTTTACCCTGGTAGTCACTCTATTGCGATGGGGG